ATATCATCTCATTTCATGTTCACCATGATTTTTTGAAGTCTTTGTTACTATTCTAATTTTACCAACATCAAAATTGAAATCCTACTAGTTTGATTGATTGCCCTAAGTCTTAGTAGGTATTAAAGGCAAAATTCAAATTCAAGCTCAGAATTTTGGTTTTCTGAGATTTCATAGCTTGTGAGTGGCCATGTGGGATTTGTCCCATAATCTCTTTTTTTTTTTTTTTTTGAAGAGGTTTTTGCTATAGGGCACATGTGCTTGCCAGAAAGACAGAGACAGAGAACAGAAAGTGAGAAATCAAATCGCCCCCCCAGGAGGGATGGCCACGCCGCAATCCCTTCTCCTCTATTCTCCGCTTGGGATCTTGGGCATGCACACTCATGCACCCAGCGTGAGTTTAAGCCACTGGGTCCGCGGTTGACTATGTGGGAGTCCAGCGACATAGCCATTACGTTAACTGCTGGTCCCTGTCCCATATTCTCTTAATCCCTGTCTTTATCCATTGCTCCATAGTAACTGGCCACCTGGGCTCGCAGAGGGCAATGGTGACCAGCGTTATGTAAGAATTTTGTCACCTGGCCTTCACGGCAGGCCTGTGGCTACATTATGCACGGTATTTTATTTGTCTCTACAACCGGGCCAAGGAACACCCAGTGACAAATGATGTTCCCACTCTGCAGTGCTCCAAGCCTGACCCCATTTTGTGTTTGGCCAGAACCTAATAATACCAGATGGGAGAGGAGGGGAAGGCGAGCAGACAGTGAGCTTCTTAAAGCAGGGCCGTCGAGTGCTCTCTGGAGGTGCTAGGTGTCAGAATTGATTGCTCAAATTTTGCCATCCAGTTGGTGTTTTCAGTAGTTTGGTCTGTGATGAGACTAGGACAGGGAGAATTATTTCTGCTTAAACAATCGAATTAATTGCTTGAGTCTAAGTGTGAGAGAGAAAAGTACAGCAGTCATTCTTGTCACAATTTTCTCTATACAGGTGGCCACCTTTCCTCGGGTAAAGGACCTTAATATCTACTTCTGCCAAAGGAGTATAGCTCAGTAGAACAAGAAAAGTGATGCTAAGTTTTTTTCCTGAATTCTTAACCCAGAGAAAATTGTGAAATGGTGGGCAACTTTTTATAGGTAACACTGAATGTTCGGCAAGTCACATAAACTCTCTGAACCTTAGCTTTCACATCTAGGGCAAGAATTAGTAGCCTCCTTGAGAATTCATTCATTTATTCATTCATTCAGCAAAGATTTGTTAAGCACGTACTCTGTGCCCAGCTCCGTGTGAAGCCATAGATGATTGTATGGATTATGGACAGTAAGGTAAAGTGCTCATTAGTGCAGCTTCTACTCAGTGCACACGCAAATGGTGGCTGTATTCCTTTTTTCAGATTTTGAGCTTTTGGTGCCAAAGGAAAGAACACTGCATTATTTAAGGTCTTATTTTCCATTCTTTACTCTCCTATCAGCAATAAACTATCCACATGCATCCCAGAAAGAAGTAGGAGAGAGGAGGGGCTGAAGCAGGTGAGAATGAAAAGATAAGCAGCCACTGCTACCAAGGAGAGAGCTTTTCAGGGAGCCCCAAGAGGCAATAAACTCAGGCCTCTGTGATAAGAAAACACCATGAAGCTTTGCCAAGGCAGTATGTGAGATGCCATATTGCAAAGAGGCACTTAGCTACGCTGATTTCAGTTTGACAGAAAATTTATTCTGGAATGTGAGGCCAGCCTGTTACAGTATGATACTACCTCAATGATTCTACGCTTGAATCTGGTTGTAGTTTAGACAACTTGGGACGCTGGGGTGACAGGGATGTGGGGGAGGCATGAGGGACGATTATGTTTGGTGAAAAACAGCCTAGATTCTAAGGGCATGTATTGATCTTAAAACTGTGGGTGATTCATCTAAAATTTCATGTTTATTGAGAATTCCTCTTGGATAGGAAGGCCTGGAAGGCCCTAGAATGCTGTTTTCCACATTGAGGAGCTGTGGACAGACAGTAGGTTGAGCTGTTAGAACATGTATATTCAAGCTCTATGGCAAACTGCAAGTCTCACCTTCCCAGCCAATACAAAGGAATTGATAATACCTTTGTCACTGAGTTCTTTTGGGAACCCAATGAGTTATGGAACTGATTACTCCTTGTATGTTAAAACTACGTATGTTGGGATCATTACTAATGAAACTTTCAACTCAAACAGAAGGTAAAGTCTTCCAACTTCTTTCATGCATGAAACAAATCTTTCACTTCCATAAGGTTTCAAAATTGTTTTTTCCCCATTGCTATTACCTGTTTGAAGATTAGTAATAAACCATAGTAATAAACCATAGGGCTGGCAGTGGAGGCACAGAGGTGACGCAGTGTTTTGCAATGTGGAGGTACACGAGGCAGGCCCATATCCACATCTGGAACTCTCCTTGTCCACACAGGCACCTCCTTGCTGATGGAGGCAGGGGGTGGGTCAGGGCATGAAGACCCTGTCAGAGGTGCCTGTCTCTCTCCTTTTCTCTTTTCCTGTCTCTCTCTTCTCTCATGGAAGAAATTAAGATAAACTATTATTAAAAACTACTATTAAAAATAATAAGCCATAGTAAATACTAGGCATGCATGTATGTGTGTGTGTGTGTCTGACTTAATTATTTTTTGCAACCCTTTTAAAATTTTTTGCAACCCTTTTAAAATTTAAGGGATGACCTACTAAAATTGGCCTAATGTGGACATTTCTTAAGAAAACCAAAAAGGACAAACTTGGAAGCCAAGGAGAAAACATCAGAATGCTCTGTCCAAGCAGCAGTCTGACAGTTCTCATATGATGTATGTTGGGGGCTGTAGGAGGAATGTGGGTTCATGCAAAGTACCTTTGCCCAGCCTGATTGAATAACTGTTTTCTCTGTATGTTCCCATCACTGTGGCATCATCAAATGAACTAATGGTTCCCCTCGTTGGACTAGTTAATGCAAAGAAGCCCGAATAAAGTTGGGGCTCTAACCAGAGTTTTAGAAGAATTCAAAGAGATAGATGTGAATTACCATGTGCTCTCGGATTCAAACTCAGAAATGCTGATGAGGCCCAGAGCACACATTCTCTGAGGGATCCTCTCCCCCCACTTGACAGCTTATCTCATCTCAACGCTCTCATGCTTTCTCCCAACTGATGTATGCCAGGTGCAGGCAGAAACTCTCAGTGGAACATATTGCTTTAATATCTGAGGTTAGATTTGAAAAAAAATTTTGTTCAGCTGTTTCCACTCAAATATTCTACTCTCACCGTGAAATAAATATATTCTGAAACTCCACTCTGTAACTATAGAAACCCTGATCTTCCACTGTGTTTCAGTTGGAAACACAAAAGAGCTCTCAGTTAGAAAGGAGTATGCTGTTAATTATTGATCTATGAATAGCTTTGACTTCTTAAACCATTTACGTTTGTAGATGAAGGGTTTCTCTCTCTTTTCTTCCCTCATTTTTGGAATTAGAGTTAGTCATATTTGAACAAAAAGTCACGTTAAAACAATGCAATGAGTATTGTTGCATTTGGTCATTTATTGAGGACTTGCTGTAAATTGAATAATATTTGGGTTTACCCTCAAAAAACATAAAACCTTGTATATCCAGTGCAAAAAAAAAAAAAAAAACACAAGGAAGTTAAGAGATCATATTGACTAACAGATTCAAATAAGTGCTATTGTGACTTAGAGAAGAAAGAATAATGTCTAACTATGGAGGCTTAAAAAATCAGGGAGATGTTCGCATTCCTTTCTTCATACTGACCTTCAAACAAGCTTAAGTCCTACGAATTCTATTATCTTCATTTCCCTAAAGCCCCCACTCCCCTCCCCATCATCATCATTTCTCTTCATTTCTTGCCTGGATTGTGACAACAGCTTCTAAGTAGCCTCCAGCCTCCTCCTGTTCCTTCCCTCCTCCAGTTTATCTTCCACCTCCATCCAGGGTCATTTATTTAAAATGCTAATCTGATTCTGTCACTTCCCTATTTTATACTCTATATTGCTCAAGAGCATTCCCCAAGGGAAAAAACTCAAGTCTTCTGTGTGGATGGATTCCTTTTCTGAGGGGCCTTCATCTTGCTAGCCCCACCCCCTTGTCTTATGTAAATCCTGGGCTAGAACCTTCTGCAGTCTTCTGCACAGCTTTCTCGTGTCCTTACGTCAGGGGCACATGTCATTTCTGTTATCTGAGAATTCCCCTTGAACTTTCCCAACTGGTAAGTTCTTTGTTATCCTTCAAGTCTCCTAAAAAATTAGCACCTCCTCCAAGAAGCCCAGCCCAATGCTTTCCACCCTTCCTTTTCACTCTCCAGTGAATAGTGGCTCCCATACAGATCTCCAGTCTTACTGCACAGCATTATCAGTCTTTGCTTATGTTTCTGTTCTTGCCAAGCACATTGCTGGGAGCCAATGGCAGTTACTCTTTTTGAAAAGTCTTTCTTTGTTCTCCAGCTTGTTGCTTGCTACATGGTAGGCATTCAGTAAGTGTTTGATGAATGAATGAAGTAGCAGGTAAAATGACGGATCTGTAGAGATGATGGGAGAAAGACACTTGGGGGATAGGAAAAATTCAAGGGTATACAACGTGTTATGAAGTGAAGCTGAGGACACTAGTGTCTTCAAGGGGAAGGAGGAAAAAGAAAAAGAAAGGAGGACAGGAAAACTTGTTTACTCACCACTCTACATGCTTATCTCCAAGGACTGTGATTTGACATTTTGACATATTTATTTAAGCATTTAAATAATAAATGTTTCTCGCCCTTTGTTTTCCAAATACTTTCAGCATATGACTTTCAGCACATGTAAAGCAGAAAATTGAAGGGATATGTGAGGAGCTTAATGAATTTTTATATGGAACGAAAGAAGAAAAATATTTTAGAATACATTTCATTTGAGCTATGAGGATAGGAGGAAAAGGAGGCTTCACTTACCATGGAACGTAATCAGAAATGGCTGTCAGGTGATAAATTCTTCATTTTTCCATCTTCTTTAGGGTGGAAAGAAAGGAGCGTGCCCGATTGAAGACAGTGAAGTTTAATGCAAAACCTGGAGTGATTGATTCTAAAGGGGTGAGTACAAAATGATGGAAACATTTTCTCAGTTGCCATGGATTTAACTATAATTAACGCTTAGGCTTTTAGTAGCAAACAACTTATGGAGCTACCAGACAGTTGAGAACTGTTAGAAATGTATTGCCCAAAGTAATAATGTCATCTCTGATTAAATGGACTTAATGGTAAAACATTATATATAGGAGATTAAGCTGCTTATGGTCAGCAGAAACAATGTATTGATGAAAGTGATCTAATGACTACCTATAATGGAGAAGAACATTGATAGTTGAGGGCTTTTTTGTTTCTTTAGTTTTTTTCTTTTAAATCAGTGTTCTAAAAGGACGCATTTTGTAGGAGGTATCTTCTCATCAGAAAATATATCTAGTTTGTTGCACATTGTGCAGCTAAGATCGTGATCATGGAAATACACACAGGGATCATCTCGGAGAATACGTGGATTGTTGTGACAGACATAGAAAAGAAGAGCATAAACAGATCACTTTTAAGCACCAAAATTAAAATACTAGCTCGCATATGCTCATTTGCATATTTTGGAAATAATAGCTTTAATGAGACATCATTCACATACCATACAGTTCGCCCACTGAAAGTATGCAGTCCAGTAGTTTTTAGAGTTGCCCAGCTATCACCGGGAGCAGTTGTAGAACATTCCATCACTCCATAAGAAATCATCTATCTATTCGCAGTCACTTCCCATTCCCTTCACCTCCCACCCCTATCCAACCACAGGCAACCACTAATCTACTTCCTGTCTCCATAGATTTGCCTCTTCTGGATATTTCGTGTAAATATAATTACACACACACTACATGGGCTTTGGTGACTGTTTTTTACTTTATATAACGTTTTCAAGATGTAGCTAGACTGTATTGTGAATGAATATTTTATGTCTCTTCATTGCCAAATAATATTTCTTGAAATGGACATATCACGGTGAATTTATCCATACATCAGCTGATGGACATTTGGGCTATGTCCAATTTTTAGCTTATTATGGATAATTCTGTTATGAACATTTGTGTACAGATTTTTTTATGTGGGCATGTGTTATTGCTTACATTGGATATATACCTAAGAGTGAAATTTCTGGGTCATAAAACTCCGTATTTAACATTTTGAGGAACTGCCAGGCTATTTTCCAAAATGATTCTACCACTTCACATTTCCGCAGCAGTGTATGAGGGTTCCAATTTCTCCATATCATTACCAGCACATGTTATTACATGTGTTATAATTTTAGCCTTCTGAGTTGAAGTGGTATCTCACTGTGATTTTGATTTTGATTTCTATAATGACTATTGATAGTGAGCATCTTTTCATGTGCTTGTTAGCTGTTTATGTATGTCCTTGAGAGTGCCTACATCTTGGAGAAATACCTATTTAGATCCTTTGCCCAATTTAAAATTGCATTATTTTGTTTTTATTGTTGAGTTGTTGTATGTTTAGGTCACTAACCCTATTTATTAGTTCTAATAGTTGACTAAAAACAGTGATTTCCTCAGAGTTTTCTAAATCATGACATATACCAAAAGAGAAAGTTTTATTCCTTTCTTCTTCATGTGGTGACTTTTATTTTTCTTGCCTGGTTGCCCTGGCTGGAACCTCCAGTACAGGGCTGAATGGAAGTGGTAGAAGCACCATCCTTGTCTTATTCCTTCACCTTAAAAAAAAAGCATTCAATTTTTCACTGTTAAGTGTGGTGTGAATTATGACTTGTAGAGCTTTTTAGATCTATATTTTAAAGAATTATTTAACTTCATTTATTTATTTTAATTTGAACAGAGAGGGACAGAGAGAGAGAGAAAGTGAGAAAGCAAGCTGCCAGGTCCGGGACTCGAACCATAGTTAGCCATGTGGGAGTCTAGCGTCATTAACCACCACACCACCTGCCAGCGTCATAGATCAATTTTTAAGGGATAATGGTAGTATGTTATTGCTGTATTAAAAAATAAATTTTTACCTCTTTTTCTCTTCCTATTCATTTCTCTTGTCTCCTTTTCTTTACCTTTCTGTCCTAAAAATCTGGCTTGTGAGTATCACAGAGAACTGAAAGTTATGGTTAGTAGGTCTCATCATAAAAAAAAAAAGAAAGAAAGAAAGAAAAACAAGAAGAGAGGCTATAATTTTTCAGTACTACCCTTTAGATCTCCTGTTTATTTCATATATAATTGAATACATATGGGGTGATTTTTATTGAATACCTGCCTTGTGTCAGACACATGGCTAGAACATGTGAAGGAGACAAAACATAACATAGGCCCTTTTCTCCAAAGATGTCATCACATCAGTGTAAGGCCAGATGTCTTTGTGCAAGGCCCAAATGTGCATAGTATACACTTTTTAATCATATCTATTAAACACCATCTGATACTTACCAATGAACAGAATGTCAAATTTTAGGACCTGAATAGCTATTAAAAGAAAGGAATAGTCTTGTGAGAAGGAAAGCCCTGGACTGCAAGTCAGATCAATAACTTGGGTTCTGGTTTTAGCTTATTACTAAATCATCACTGCTCCTTGATCCTTAATAGCCATGTAAGAGCTTTAAACTAGAATATATCAGAGATGTCAAATAAGCTTCATCCATGTTAACCGGTGTTGATAGTTTTAAAAATCAGGAGACTGGGCCTCAGGAAAATGAAGTTGCCTGTGATTGTACACTCAGTAGGTACTGAAGTCAGGTTCAAATTCAAATCATTTTGAGTCTACCCTTTTCATTACTGGATGTATACCTGATTGTGTCCTGCCTTAGATGAGAGAAAAGGCTACGGAGAAGTGATATTTGAACAGGATCTTGCAGGATGAATAAGAGTGTGCCTCCGACATGTGAAAAAGCATGTGATGGTTGAAATTACAGGAATGCTGATGTAAGCTCAAGTGAATCAAGGACACCAGTGTGTGCAGATGGTGGTGATGGTTGTGGCAAATGGGGCTGACAAGGAAAATCAAGGTCAGAAAGCTTGCGTGGAAGGCCTGGTTATGAAACTTGGCAGCTTATTGAATTTTGAGAATTTCTATGAGGAAATCTGAGACTCTCTCTTTGAAAATGCCCATTTGCTGCTACAAATGAAATGTCCAAGCTGTCTATCTCCCCCTTGCACCTTCACAAAGTCTACGTCTACATGTGCAAAACAAGTGGGCTATCATGTCAGTAGGTTGGATACTTTCAACATACCCAGTCCCCAAAGCTCTACAGGTGTCATATTGAGACATTTATCAGTTCCCCAGACCTGGTTGCAGTCAGGCCTTCTGGAAATGTATGTTAAGTTCCTAATTAGTATAATTCAAACCATTGTTTATTCTAATTTTTTTCATTAATTCTTAACTAACCATTCTGTTAAGTAACAGAATTTTCTTCTTTAGTTTGCTAGAGGGTGTATGCATTCACAAGAGCAATGGGGAGAAAGGGGGAGGGAAAGTGAGAAAGCATCCCGCCATGGGGAATACCCATGCCATAGTACCTTCTCCTCCACTTAATTCTCTTGTCAGGATTTTGTAAATGCATACACATGCACCCAGCATGTTTCTTAAGCCAGGGAGTCCAGGACTCAAACTATGAGGTTGGCTGTGTGGAATCCAGCTGCCTTACCCACCATGTCACTGGCTGGCCCACATGCAGTGATTTATTGAGAGATTTAGAAAACTGCATAGTCTTTAGAATCAAGCTGTTCCACACTAAAGAATTAATGACCACTTAGTGATATATGCTAAACATTTTTGTTTTTCTTGTTTAAAAGTCCCTGTAATTTAAGGAAAAGAGAGAAGATGAAAAAGTTATATATTCTTATTCCTTGTCAGCAATTGTGATGTGTGAGTGTCTCCTTTGCATTGTTAAGTCCTCTCTAAAGTAAGTTGTTCGAAGTATCCAACCTAATGACATTTATTTAGGGTATAAATAAATAAGCTAGTCCTATTTATCCTTAGTCTGAGACCTGACAGAGATGATAGTTGTTATTCAAAGTAGTAGAAATAGCCATTGTAAAAATCCAGGTGGTTTACACACATCTCTTAACCACCAGAATGAAACTTAAAAGAAATTACTAATTCCCTCTCTACAGAGTTGGAAAAAAAAAAAAAAAAAACGCGCTTAGAGAGGTGAAGAAATCTGAACACATGTCTGACTGATCCCAAAGCCCACTGTCCATTTACTACAGCAGGCTTTCTTCCTTATGAGACTGTATCTCCCTTGCACAATGTAAGGAAAATGAAGAAGTAAACTGAATTGAGTTTAGCTCTGTCAAAGCTAATATAGACATAAACTTCAAACCTGAGGGATAGAAGCTGGTTTCCCTTGATGATGTGTGTCTTTCTGGGTTTTTGTTTGTGTTTTAAGAGAGATTTTTATTATAGGGTGCATGTGCTCACCAGAAATAGAGAAAGAAAATGAGAAATCACCCCCAGGGAGGGCTGTACTGCATTCCCTTTTCTTCCATTCTCCTCTCATGATTTTGGGCACACCTGGCATGAGTTTTAAGCCACTGGGCCTGGGATTTCAACCACGGTCAACTACATGGGAGTTCAGTGATGTAACCATTATGCCATATGCTGGTCCCAATGTGCATCTTTCTGAATGAGAACATTTCTCAGGGCTCCACACTTTCTTTGCCATGGCCCACCAGAATAAAATGAAGGGCCAGTCTTGGTGAACCTTTATGAAATACCAACATGAGCCTGCCACACAGCGCAGTGGTAGTACAATGCTCCACCCTGCCAAGCCCACATGGGAAGATACTTGGGTTGTGTCCCAAGGTCTCCCTATGCATACTGGGTGTGCACTCACACCCACGACCCTGACTGGTTAAGATTGGGGGTCGATTGAAGCACAGAAACTCTTTTGGGGATGCCTCTCTGAACCTATCTCTGTCATGGAAGAAATAAATAAATAAATGTTAAAAAATTTCAAGACTGAAGGAGGTAGCTTGGTAGGCATTGTGGACTTGTAGACGGACGCCATGGTGTCTGCTCTAGAGGAGCAGGTCTTCTGGGAGAAAAAA